GGGCAACAGCAGAGGCAGAACCTGTGATGGATGCCTTGATCTTCTTCCACTGCTCTTCGCTGCGCGCAATCCGCCAACAGATGAATAACTCAAAACCGTGAATTCGCATCGACAGACGCAGCCCTGTAGACAGCTATCGCTGTGCAGGAAATTGTTGCCAACTTACGTGAAGGGAGCTTCCTCGTCTTCAAGTGCATCAGGTGTGGTCATGCACAGTAGGGCATAGCCTTTCTTTTCACCCGCACCGCTCCGTGAGCTAAATACCACGGGAGTTGTTGCTTGTGTGCAGGTGACTACTCGGCAGTCAGCCGTGGCTTTCTCCGAGGGGTTATACATGGCAATAAAAGAAACGTTATGTTGTTTCTCGTAGAGTTCCTCTCCTTCAGTCTTCGGTGGAGGGAGGGAGGTGAAGTTGCTGGCGGCGTCCTTCCAGTGGCTCACTGCGGCAGCGCAGTCCGCCTCTGCTGTATCCAAGGCCATGAAGGCGTATGTACCGCTTGGAAATTCATTTCCTTCGGCGCCTTGCTGTACCGTGATTTCTTCTTCTTTCTGCAGATAAAAGGGCGTGTGGGAATCAAAAAAAAACAGAATTGGAGTAGAGAATACGTGGCCACAGATGGAAGGCAAGGACTAAGGCCACTTACTTTTATCAGAGCATCGCAAACAGGATCCCATGGCTTAGCCTGTTGGCTGACTGATTTTGCGTCAGTTTTAGGCCACGTTTCTAAACCTTTCTCTGCCACCAGGAAGTGTGCTAGTCCAGCGCCTTCGCGAGCAGCGTTGATCTCGTCAAGGCACACATTGGGTTCACCTGTAGAAAAGCGGCCCATAAGGGACAAAACAAGCCCAAGTGTGCCACGGATGATGTTTCTGAAGAGGGGTTGGTTTGTCTGAAGCCGTCGGAGAGGCCAGTTTGGTTCCAAACTACACTGAACCTCGAGCACAGCTCACCGACTCAAACACATTTACTTTGGACCATCATGAGACTGAAACCCTCCCCAGCAAGCAACTGTTCGCCAACATACCAAGATCCACTGTGTAGGTTGACGATTGTCCCTCTTCTAAGCCGTCATCACTGTCTGTATTTCCTTGGGTTGCGTTGGCCATCAGGAGCGCAGAGGCAGCGGCGAGTGAAATAATTTTAAGAGGCGCCATGTTTGTAGAGTTGAGGGAGAATGTATTGGCAAGAAGAATAGAAGTGCGCTGCAAGTTTGCGGCGACTCCAATTAGAGACGTGACAATGTGTTGTGCTGTATGTGTGCAGGAGGAGGCGGTGAGGGAGCTAACTGCGACTGGCGAATCCGGTCCGGCGTGGGGACCTTCTGCCTAAGGACTGGCATTGAGTTTACCACATTGCATCGGTTAACGCCCCATAAATGATACATTTAAAGAAGCATTACCTAGAAAATTCCTCGTACATCTGCTGAACACAACGTGAAGCCCCTGTTAAGGACGCGCGCGGTCGTGCCATCATTCAGACCAGCTGAGCACCGTGGTCCCTCGAGGTCGGTCCCTGTTTAGCGGCCGATCAATTCAAAGTGAAGAATTTGTTGTTTTTTCGAGGGCTTACTTTGTATAAATTGCCCTA